TCCTGCTTCAGGTCTGTGTGTAGGGAACCCAATCTAAGACAACCAATTGACTACCTCCCCAAAGAGCCCTTTGAGAAATCTCACTAAATCAGTGGAGCTGCCTTCCAGGGAGAACTAATTCACATTTACATGAATTTGTATACAGTTCTGGGTCCCCAGGAATCCACCCACACCCCCATTTGAGACCACGCACCCCGCCGTCCAGATCTGGCTTGTTGGGGGGGGGGTGTCTGGTGGAGGGGGACAGGCAGCATGCGGGCCTGCGCTGGGACCCCAGCCACGCACCCGCAGGCTGAGTAATTTGGGGCAGCAGGTGTAATATAAACCCATCCCCGCAGGCTTCTCGCAGCGGCTGGTTGTGATCACCCACAGAAAGCGCTTAGCGCCGTATGGCACGTTGCAGGAAGCAAGGTACGAACGCTAAGTGATACTGGTATTGGTGTCACTTTACTGGAAGCTGCTTCATTCAAGTCCTTACTGGTCTGCTTGTTATAACTGAATATACTGAGCTCCTGGAAGCCATTTGGAAAGGTCTGATTCAGTTCCAGGATCCAGATAGTTGAAATCACACTCGGTAGCTACTCTGCACATCATCTCTATTAAATCTGCAGACAAGCCCCGCGAGGGACGATGCTATCCTACGGGGCAAGCAGGTGCTGCGCTGGGGGAGACGTGAGCTGCCCCTTGGCGGGGGGATGCAGCTATCAGGGCGGCGGGAAGCCAGGCCCCCCCGAAAGCTCTGGATGTCATCGGGAGACTCCAGGTGCCACGCACAGTGTTTGCCTCCTCCCTGGAAAGAGCTCTTGAGCACCGGAAATCTGGATCTGTTGTCCTAACTCCCATGTCTTCTGCTGTTCATCAACCTTGGAAAGCAGCTGCTAAAACATCGCTTCCGCCTTGTGGGTTCCCATGCAAATCGCTCCCAGCGCTGGGCAAAGTGCAGCGCCTTCGATAGGTCACAACCTTCGCCTCTTCCTCTCCTTCCCAATGCAGGAACTGTGTGTAGTTCCTTTCTCCCCGCGCCGGGCAAGAGAGGAAGCCGTTTCTGCCCACCGCAGCCTGTGCAGGCGGAGGCCTGGGTGGGCTGCCGGCTTCCTGCCTGCCTATTGCCCCCTGTCACCCCCAGCCCATCCTCCACCCACACACGGGTCACCCTCAGTCCCACGTTCCCACTGCTCCTTCCAGGCAGCCCACCTGGATTTCACCCACTCACCAGGCAGGAACAGGCGATGGTGGCCAAGGTTGGCAGAGGGGTGTCTTTGAAACAAAAGGATGAGCTTCACCCACCCACCCACCAACAACAGAGCCATCAGTCCGTCCTCACAGGACGGCCACCGTGGTCCCCGGTGCTCAGACTTGGGGGCGGACTTGTTCTGCGTGGCACAGAGCAAAGGGAGTAAGCCGCCACGGTGAGGTCGGTAACACGGAGGGAAGCCACCGTTGAGAGGGACTGACTGGGCCAGGCCCTGTTCGTGTGTCCAGACTCCAGTCCAGCTGCATGCCTCGTCCAGTGCGTGAGTCATCCAGCTTGGATGCTCCTAGGAGTGGGGAGCTCACTCCTTTCCAAGGCAAGAAATGTATTTCACAAAAGGCGATGAAGCTCACCTTGCTGCCCTTCCCTCCATCGAACCTTTGGAACCAACACCACCCCCCCCCAGAGCAAGCCCCCTGTGGCCCTGAGACACCTGAACTGCCCTTCCTCCCAAGTCTCCACTCAGTCTGACGTCCACTGCCACCTGACCCGCTCTTGCTGGACGACGGAAGCCAGTGCCTCCTGGCGGCGGCCTTCACGCCGGGAGCCTGTGTGGGCGCTCTCGGGCCACCAGCAGCACCACCACACGGCGCTGCTCACCCCTGGTGCCCAGAGGAGGGCCCGCGCGTCACCGAGGGAAGCTGTGCGTCCCAACCCTTAGCCCTCAGCCCGCAAATTCTTCTGGAAGTGTTTCCATGAACCCGGAAGACTTCAGCATCCCCCAGGGCCCCTGCTGAAGGGCTGCGAGCCTGAAGAGGCGGAGGGAGAACCTCCGGAACGCACGCGGACGGCTCCCCGTGACACGTGAGTGTGTCTGCTGCTCACACCTGCCTGGGAACCATAAGGACTCCCTGGCCTCGGAGGGGCTTGGGGGACCCGGAGCCAAGGATGGCGGAGGGACAGCTCCTTTCCACCTGCTCTTGCTTGTCAGTGTCTGAAATTAGCTTTGCCCCGTGCCATCATTTCCTCTTGGCAGTACTTCTAAAGACGGAAGAATTAAAGAATGTGAACCTCCGGAGGGCAGAGACCACGCGATCATCATCTGTCCCCGAGGGAGGGGAGCGTTAGTGTCTGCTAGAATGGAGAAGGGCAGGGGGAGAGGCAGGAGAATGGCCTCAAATAGCCTCTCGGAAAATTGCAGCCAAAGTTTTATTTTTATTTATTCCGCATTTGATCACACAGCAGAGGTCGCGGGCTAAGCCGCCGTGGTGCGGGGAGAGCGTCGGAATGAGCTAGGAAAGGCCGGAGACCTTTCTGTGACCTTTCTCCTCAGCTGCGGCCAGCCCTGCAGGGACGCGGTGGGCACGCACCTTGGCAAGGCTTCACCTTTCATGCTGACCACAGCACCCGCCTGTCACACGCTGGGTGGGGAAGATGAGGGAGTTTGTCCTGGGGGTGTGCTCTGGCCCGAGGCCACCAGCTCCACCCCGGCCCTGGCCCCAGGCGAGGTCCCCGGGCACTGCCCCAGCGAACGCTGCAGGAGTGGCCCGACCCAGCTGGAATTTGCTCGGGGAGCGTATCTCCCGGCCTGGCCAGCCGCCCGGCCCTGCCCGGAGAAGGGCCTCCCACCCGCAGGCCTGCGAGGGAGAGAATCGCTCCCAGCAGCCCGAGTGCGCCTCCCCGCAGGTGCCAGGACCCTCCCCAGCACACCGCCACCCCCACACCTCCAAGAATAGCAGAGGCTGCAAGTTTTCATGAGTTCTTGGTCTCTGGCAGAACTGAGTAGCGGTGGCGGGGGGGATGGGGTGCCCAGAGGTGGGGAAACAACAGGAGAACGGCTGGTGGCTCTCAGAGTCACCCCTACGGGGCATCTCTCACACGGGTGAAGGAAGTCCGGATCCCCACACTGACCCAGCCAGGCCACTACCCCGAACGCAACCAAGGAAGAATGTCTAGCTCAGCGGGCCTGTGACAGCAAGGGATGGGGAGCAGCCTACATGTACCAGCAACGGGACCGGCAACATGAACGCCAATGCAGCCACGGCAAGTGTGGCATGGGAGTGCTTCCGTGGATGCGGGAGTATGTCCTGAAGATGCTGTTAAAGGGCACCAGAGAGCTGCAAAATAGGAGACGGGACAGGACTCGGGTTTTGTAAAACCCCGCCTGTGTACAAGGACGTACAAGGACAACGTCTACAAGATCGTTTTGGCCGTACTCCAAAATATTTACAGGGTTATATCTGAAGTGTAGGGTTGCGGTGACGTTTGCTTTGTACTTATGTTAATCGATGCATTCTAATTTTTTGTGAAATGGTAACTGTCCTTAAGTTGACTTCTTTGAGGTGTGATCCGCATACACAAAGCACTCATTTCAAGTGTGTATCTCCCCCAGGATCTGACAAGTCTGTCCAGCCTTGGAAATACCACCACAAACAAGATAGAGAACATCCCATCGCCCCAAAGGTCCCCTTAAGCCCCTCTTCGGACAACCCCTGCCCCCTCCCCCAGTCCCGCCCCCAGACAACCGCTTCTCCTCTTTCTGCCGCTAACTTAGATCTGACTTTTCTAGAGCTTTCCATGAGTGGAGTCACGCTAAATGTTGTCTTGTGTGTCTGCATTCTTTCGCCCGGCATGATGTTTTTGAGCCCACATTCTATATGGACCAGTAGTGGGTTTTTCCCTTTTTATAGCTGAGTAGTATCCGCCGTGTGGATGTGCCAGTGTTTATCCACTCACCCCTTGATGGGCACCTGGGTGGCTTCCAGTTTGGGGTTACAATTACAAAGTAGTTGTGAGTAGTCACACTCAAATCCATCTGTGGACATAGGTTTTCCTTTCTTTGGGGAGAATGGGTGGGAGATGAATTGCTGGTTCATACAGTAAATGTATATTTGGTTCTAGAAGAAACACTAAAACTGTTGTCCAAAGTGATTGTATGCTCCCACCAGCCACAAAAGTGCCAATTGCTCTATTTCTCACCAACACTTGGTATTGTCGGTCTCTTTAATTTAGCCACTCTAATGGGATTGTATCTCATGATGGCTCTAATTTGCATTTCCCTGAGGATTCATGCCACCAAGCATCTACAGCGTGCTTGGCGACAACTTTTTACGTGAAGTATCTTCTAACATTTTTCTCATTTTTCCCAGGGGATTGAATTATTATCCAGCATAACATGTTTTGGGGCTTGGGGTTTTTGTTTTTTTTTTTTAATATGCTGGGTAAAGGTCCTTCATCAGATACACACATCATGAATATTTTCTGATCAGTAATTGGGATGGGCTTTTCCATTTTCTTATGGTATCTTTTGAAGAACCTGAGTTTTAAATCTGGGTTAAGTTCAATTATCAGTGTTTTCCTTGTATGGTTTACACTCTTTGTGTTTTTATCTAAGAAATCTTTGACTATCCCAAGATTATAAAGATTTCCTCTTACGCTTTCTTCTTGGAGTTTTATAGTTTGGGCTTGTATATTTAGGTGTACGATGCATTTCAATTTAATTTTCTAAGTGGTGTGAGTTAATGTTCAAGGTGCATTTTTTGTCCATCAATCTACAGCGTCCAGAATGTGGCCACTGGCCACAGGTAGCGATGGCTTCCTCACACTGTGGCTGGTCCAAATTGAGATGCGCTGCCCTTGTGAAATATACAACACGTGTTGGAGGCTTGGAACGCCCCCAAAAAATGTAAAATGCCTCATTGATGATATTACTGATTACATGTTAAAATGACAATGTCTTGGATATGTTGGCTTAAATAGAATTAATTAATTAAAATTAATTTTACCTGTTTTCCTTTTGCCTTTTCAGTATGGCTACCAAGAACTTAAAATCACCTACGTGGCTTGCATTATGCCTCTAGTGGACGGCAGTGGTCCCCATGGACACCCATTCCAGCACAGTCTGTCAAAAACAGCTCTCTTTCCCCCAGCTTGCCTTCGCACCATGGTCGGGAATCTGCTGACCATGTGCGTGCAGCTGTCTGCACCGTTCCACTGATCCCCGTGTCTGTCCGTGTGCCACAGCCACGCCACCCGATGACTGTGACTTTATAGGAAGGCTTGAAATCGAGGCCACGTAAGTCCTCCAATTTTATCCTTGTTTCCCAAACGTGTTTTTGTTATCTTAAGGTCTTTCCATTTCCGTGTTAATTTTCAAGTCGGCTTCTAAGGTTTTCTGGTTGTTGTTAAAGCCTGTTGAGATTTTATTAAGATTACATGAAATCTGTAGATGAATTTGGGGAAGGCTGACATCTTAGAAACAGTGAATCCCTGAGCCATAAACGTTATGTAGCACGCTTTTTCAAACCGCAATACTTTATGTTTAACTTACCCCTAACTAGGTTATGGTTTTGATATTATTTTACATGGTGCTTTTAAATTTTTATTTTCCAATTATCAACTATAGAAACACAACTGAATTTCTTATAAAGTGGCCCAGAATATTGCTATCTTATTGCATTTACTTATTACTTCCAGTAGTATCATGGTAAGCTCCTTAGGATTCTCTATGTTTACAATCGTGCCGTTTATGAAGAAAGACATTTTCGTCCTTCTTTCCAGTTCTCTTTGCTTGCGGGGCCTTCTCACGCTGGCCGTGCCTGTTAAGCAGACAGCAGTGTGCGTGGTGCGGAGCGGGCACCTCTTCTTCGGCTCTAGGCTCAGGGACCCGGTCAGCCTGTGCTGCCCATTTATCTGCGAGCCTCTGTGGGGTTCAGGAAACCTTCCTCATTTGCAGTTTGCTGAGAGTTTTAATCGTGAATTGGTTTTGAATTCTTGCCAAGTGTTTTCTGGTTGTACTAAGACGACCATATGGTTTTTCTCCCTCATTCTGTTAGTGTGGGTGTTCTCGTGTGTTTGGCCGGCCCCGCTCGCCTGGGCTAAGTGCTGGAGCCTAGTACCCCGGGTACTGGGCACATCGCAGACACCACGGGACGGAGGGAGGCTGAGCTCCGCCCTGATGCATTCGCCTTGGAGCCCAGCCACCCGGGCGTCAGCCGAGTGCTCTCCTGCGTGCTAGGCGGGGAGCGTCCCCAGGGCACCTGGATCCACCTGGATGCTGTAAGCCACTTCCCATAGCAGCATCTGCGTGTCCGCAGGAGCGCCGCAGGGAAAGGTGCCCACGCAGGGCCGTGACCGAGGCGGTCCGTCAGCACAGCTTGACCACAGGAGCGTCAGACCCTGCCTGTCATCAGGGTCACTTAATCCCCAGAAAACATTCTAATCCACAGCGTCCTCCGCAGGATCGAGGACGGAAAGCGTGATTTATTGCTGCTTAAGTGCATCCTTTCATATTTCCAGACTGCCTTGGGGAGCAATTCCTCACAATGTCAGCAGCTGGCTCAGGAGAAGAGGAAAGGGGCAGTGCCAGGAGGAGGGAGAGGGGCAGTGCGGGCACCCTGGCCCCGGGGACCCTCGCCCGGGACTGCTGCTGACAACCCCAGGCCAGGCAGACGTCTGGCCCCAAAGGCCTTGGAAGGGGTCTCCAAGGGCCCTGGCGTGACCCGGGCTCCTGGGCCCACAGGAGGAGCCCGGGTCTTCCCCGCTTCCTGCCCGCCTGGGCCTGGCTGCTCCAGTTTTATTAGAACCAGTTGCACATGAGTTTCCTAGAAACAAAGGGGGCTGATCTCATCGGCCTGGCCCCGAGCAGAGGAAATGCTAGCACGAAAGCCTTCGCCTTGGGCCCAGAGCCTCTCCAGCACCACCTCCCTGAGTCCTCGCAGACAGCCGGGAGGCCGGTTCTCATGGGAGCCCCTGTAGAGCGGGGAAACCGAGGCACAGAGCGGGCCTCACAGCTGGAGTTGAGCTGGTGCTCCACAGGCCTGGCCCTTGTGAGGTGGCCGCTGGGGTTCTTGTCCCCGGTTCTGCCCTGGGGAAGTGAGGGCCCCGCAGATACTCCACCCTGCCACCCTCCTCCGCACCTCGGATGGAAGCAGTGACCAGGGAGAGCCAGGTCTTCATAGCGACTCTTCACCTTTCGAGGTGGGCACAGGCCCCTTGGGAAGGGTGAGCACCCACCAGCATGTGCCACACGCCAGGCACACGGCTGCCGGCTTCCCGGGCGTCCCCTTGTTTGGTCCCAGCAGCCATCCATGTGTTCAGGGCACAGCTGAGGACAGGGACGCACGCTGTCAGGGGCACAGGACTGAGGCTGCACGCTGCCGCGTGACCGCGGCCCCGGGACTTCCCGTGGGGCGCACACCGCCCCAGAACAGCACAGGGACAAAGACGCCACGCACATCACTTACGTGCCCGGCCCTGCTCCCGACCGCAAGCCCCATGAGGGCGGGAACTTCCACTGAGGGTGGTCCCCAGAGGCGGGAGCTGTGCCCCGCACGCAGCAGGACTCAAGAAATATCTGTTGAATGAGTGAATAACCATAGTTAGCATTCACAAAGCACTTGCTCGTGGGGGGGACGGTGCTCGTGACCCGCCTAGATAAACGCGCCTCCTCCTTACGACGCGGGGAGCCACCTGTCAGTAGGGATGCACGCTATCCTGGTGGGTGGGAGCTGGGCCGGGTCACCTGCAAGATGGGCTAGCTCACCTGTCTGCCTCCTGGGCTGGGGAGACAAGCAGCCGGGACTGGAGCCGCAGGGGCACGCGGGCATCCCCTCCCCAGGGGTCTTCACACAGGGTCTTGGTAAAGCATCGGGGTAGCTGGATTCTCACATGGTGCTGAAGGCTTCCAGAACTCGGATCCCAGGGAAGGGTGGCAGGGATCATGTGGTTAGTGGAGGAGCCAGGACCCGAGCCCAGAGTCGTGACCCCCTCCCTGTGTTACAATTCCAGGGCTTCCTGTTTCCCTGACCCTCCTGCCTGGATCCCAGACCAAAATCCTTCTTCTAAGTAGAGCAGGAAGTTGCATCCTCTGTCGCAGGGAACCAATATTTTCTAAGCTCCCTGGGACCCCAGGCCCCAGGTTAACCCGTGGTGATGCTGAGGAGGACACGGTCCCTGCCCTTGGGGAGCTCGAGACCTGGCTGCCTCCCCACAACGGGAGAGCTAGCTGCCACAGAGGGGGCAGGTCTGCTGGTGCCGTGGGGTTCCAACGGGGCTTCAGCACAGAGACATGACATCTGATGGACTTAGGACGGGGTTCATCGATCTGATCTCAGCATGGTTGACATCTAGGGCCAGATACCCCTTGTCACGGGGGCTGTCCTGTGCACCCGTCGCTGTGGAGCCGCACCCCTAGCTTTGACCAGTAGCCCCCAAACCGCCAATTTCTGACAACGAGCAATGTCTCCAGATAGTGCCGAACATCCCCTGGGAGTAAAATTATCCCTGGTGGGGAACCCCTGGCTTCGAGGAAGGAGAAGGAGTTTTTCCGGGTGAAAGAAACACCCTACATACAGGCAGGTTCGAGGTGGGGCTGAGAGGGAGTCTGCAGGGCAAGCTATGAAACTGGACAGAGAAGCTTCAGCTAGCCTGGGAGAGCCTTGCCTGTCTCGTGGGGAAATTTGGACTCGGTCCTGTAGGCAGCGGGGAGCCATGGAAGGTTATTAAGCAAGCAGTGACATGAAAAGGCTTACTGCTTAGAAAGATCACCATTAGTGTTGTGGAGGTGGGGAGAGTGGCTTAGAGGCTACTGCACTGATCCAAGCAAGAGAAGACACGCACACACACAAGTAGGAATGTCGCCAGGTGAGATCGGCAAAGTGCTGCAGGAGTTTGGGGGCAAGGGGATGCTGAAGACCGAGGAGTTCCAGCCAGTGGATGCTCCGTGTGGAGCCTTGAAGGGAGTGGCCAGGAGGGAGGGGGCATTCCTTGCTGCTGGAGAGGCATGTGATCAATGCAGCAGGGCTGCAAGTGAGCCTAGCCGCAGAGGAGGGCCCACCTTCCAGATGCCCAGCTGAAGGACGCAGGCACGGTTCTGGAGCCGCATGCCAGGGAAGGGCATGCTCACACATGGTTCAGGAGGGTGTGTTGGAGGACGGTGTGCAGGATGGACCGTGCTTACACATGCCCATCAGAGACCCCAGGATGAAGCTCCCCACCCCCCATGTTTTTACAGCTGTCTGACCCCAGAGGACTTTGCAGGTGCCCACAGAACAGGCCAAGGGCTGCCCTGCCCGAGGGCCACCCCATCAGCCAGAACAAGCCCAGCAACTTCTTAGAGTAGGTGTAAATCCCAAAAGGAAAAACCTGATTTCATGTGGCCAATTGTGGGACCATGGATGAATCCAGGTGACACGGAAGCGGAGTCTGGGGGCATCTGCAGCCCCTTCCACTGTCGCTCCGCATCTATGTGCATCTTGCCCCAGGAGGGCTGGGAGGTCCCAGGGCACACACCCAAGAATGGGCTGGGGCCCCATTGCTGCACACCCCACATGCCTTGCGCTGTGCCTGGCACGGAAATGGTGCTCAGAGAATATGCATGATTCCAAGCTACGGCTTCGCCCATTAGACAAGTTCTGGAACTATTCCATAAACACACCTTTAAAAGACCAGCTCCTTCTGCTAAGCTATGCGAACAGTCAGCACCTTTTTATCCAAAGGTGAGAACTCTCAGCCTTTTTATCTGACCCCCGGAGACTCAGCAGGGCCTGAGGATTCGAGCAAAGGGCCCACACAGACAGTGGCAGAGAAGAGAGAACCCCTAGCCCTGCCTGACGGGGCAGGAGGAGGAGCTCCATCCCCCAGGCCGGGTCGTTTCCAGCTGTGATGCCCCAGGAGCTGTCCCAGGACTGACCTGCACACAAGCAGATGTTGTGGGTTGAACCTCTGCCGCTCTTTCCTCCCACGTATCTGTCTGCTCTGATGGGTAATGTTTCCTGATGGCGACATGCATGGTGGGTGGCGCCACGGAGCTGTCCCTGCAGCCAGGCTCAGCTAAGCAATGGGTCTCCCTTCAGCCCCGCAGCCTGGCGCACGGGGGGCTTCCTCCGCAGGACCAGGCGCCAGCCCCTCGGGCTCTCAGATGCATGGAAGTATTTGATATATCCCCATTTTACAGGTTGCTGTCTCATCCAAGGTCACATAGCTGATAAGCAGCAAGCTGGCCACAACTTCCTTCAACTAGGAAAGCACACAGACTCTCAGTATCTGTACCCACAAGTACTTGCTGAG